CCGCCGCGGCCGCGCCCGCCGCCGCCGCCGCCGCCCGCAGAGGCCATCAGCTGCTTCCCGTCACATGGCGGCCGGCGGGGGCGGGGCCGGGGCGGGGAGCGCGCAAGGGAACGCAGGGCTGCGGGGGCGTCGGGTGGGCCGGGGGGACGCGGAGCCGAGCGGAACGCGGGGCCCGGGGCACGCGGGGCTAGGGGAACATTAGGCCGAGGGGACACGGAGCTAAGGGGACATCAGGCGGGGGTGAACGCTGGGTTGGTAGGGCACCGTGCCGGGGAACACCGGGCTAAGGGGCTGGGAGGAACACTGGGTTCAGGGGACGGGTGGCCGGGGGACGCAGAGCTGAAAGGAATGCGGGAAGAGGGAGGAGGGGGAAGAGCCGCAGAGCTGATGGGTTTCGAGGCTGGGAAACACCGGACTGATGGAGGTCGGGGGAGATGCCGTAGCAGGGAGGGAAGGGAAAGGAGGGGGCGCGCGGACTTGACTGAGGTTGAGGAAGGGCTGAGGGGGAAGCGAGGCGGGCGGGCGGGCAACCGCTACCGGACACTGACCGAGGGGACCTGACAAGCCAACAGGAAAGGTGTGCAGAAACCGTATCCGATGTGGGAATTTATCGGACTAAGAGCCAAGGTCTGACTGAGGAGAGGTGGGGCGTGGGGAGCTCTGACAGGATCTAAAATGGAAGCGCAGAATTCGAGCGAGTAAAGATGGGGGTGGACAAGGGCCAGGGATGAAGTGGAGAGACCTAGAGGACTGCCTGAGGCTCAGGGAAGCTGCTGGGGTCATGATGCTGGGTGTTGTCTATGGGATCAACCAGGTTGAAGAAGCTGGGGCTCATGGTGGGGGTGGAATGCTGGCCTTGACGACAGCCACAAGAGGGAGGAGTGTTGGAGAGCCTGGCTTGGAAAAGCCAGGGGGAGGGACGGAAGAGGTGAGGGTAAAGTCAACTCTAAGCAACCCCATCTTTCCACCCCACCCCCTACCCTCCCCGACTTTCCTCTGCGTGTCCTCAGAACCGCCTCAGGTCTTGGTCCTGTTTGGGTCAGATGGATTTCTTCAACTTGGAGCCAGGGTAGGAGAAAAGGGTTTTAGTAGTAGCTGGCCTTGGACTTTCTCACGGGCTATAATTGTAATCCCGGGTAGTCTGTTACCGTCCCCATCCCCAATACTCAAGTCCCTTTTCCTGTTCCCAGCCTGGACATTTCTCAAAGCTCAATCTCCCTAATTTCCTTCCCCCTTTGAGTCACATGGATTTTTCTAATGTGGAGCCAGGAAAGGAAAAGTGATGGGTTAGTAATTGTTTTTCCATGTTTTGTTAGTCCAAACTCTTGCTTCTGCCTTTTTGCTTTGTAGGATTCTCTTCCACTTACCTTTTAGTCCAGGCACATTTCCCGTGACCTGTTTATCCTCAGGTCTCCTGGAATATATCCGTACTTTATCAGTTGTCTGTTTTGAGGACCACATACACACACGTTCATCCATCTTCTTTTTCTACTTGTCTGTCCCTTTATCATCCCCATTTTTACTTACGAGTCCCCTTTTCACCCTCCATCCATATTTAAAGCTTTTTATTAAAAAATAAAAACAAAACAAAAACAAAAAAAACACCCTGGCGTTTCCCACCCTCAGCCCACGGTTCCTGTTTTATCTATCCTTCCTGATCTCTTTTACTCTCCAGCTCCATTTTTTTTCTACTACTCTTTCCAATCTTTCTAACCTACCTTGTTTCCACCACCTCTACCATGTTGTCTTTAGTGTTCCTGTTCGTGAATACACATCATCATGGAGGCCAAAGGTATTGTCCCTACTTGGGTTTTTTTCTGGGGAGGGAAGAGTTGTTTTTGTTTTTTAATGGGTTTGGGTGGTGTTTTGCCTGAACGTATGTCTGTGCACATGCATGCCTGGTGGCTAAGGAGTCCAGACATTGGATTCCCTGGAACTGATCAACAGATGGATGTTAGCTGTTATGTGAGCACTGGAAGTTGAACCCAGATCCTCTGGAAGAACAGCCAGTGCTCTTGAGTTACTGAGCCATCCCACCATGACCCCTTCTCTTCTATCTCTCAAATGTCCATTTTCTGGTGTTCTCAGGGACTCAATTTTAATGGCTTTGTTGTTTGTGCTGAAGACTAAAACTCACATGTATTTAATAAACTATCAGTGAGCTACACCCTTTCCTGTACTTACACATTCAGTGTGCACAAGTCATGAAAAGTCAAGTGGTAAGGGGTGACAAAAATAAAACTTCTCCAGTTCTTTTCCAAATCGTTTTTGGTGGTGGTTACGTTTGTGTTTTGTTTTAATCATCCTCTTATTTATCTGTGTGTGTATGCAGCTAGTTGTGGGATGTCACGGTGTGCAAGTAGACAATCAGGGAACTACTTTTGGGACTAGATTCTCTCCTACCACATGGGTCCCAGAGACTGAACGTAGGTCTGTCAGGCTTGAAAAGTAAATACCTTTACAGGCTGCGTGGTCTTGCCAGCCCTGGTTGATTTTTGAGACAAGGTGTCATTCTGTAGGGTAGGCTGGACTCAAGCTCCTGGCAGTCCTGCCTCAGCTCTCAAGTGCAGGGCTTACAGGCACAACTCTCTCACTCCCAATTTTTTATAATTACTAGTCAGATGTAAGTCAAGATCACTGAAATAATATGTTTAAAAATAACTTTATTCCAAAGTCTTTTAAAAATTCCTAACCTTAGAACTTATTTCTCCCAATTTCCCCTTTCAAATGGTAAGGTCAATCACATAGAACCATCTGCAGCTTTTCTCTGCAGCAGCTGGTATCCAGCCCTGTGGTGAGAAATTTGATTGGCACTTAACGTACAAAGTTGTACCCAGTGGTGACACTTTTCCTATGTGCTTCCTCTACGAGTGTGAAAAATGAAGCTAATGCTAAAGCCACAGGGTTGTAGAGCCCCTCTCCCACTTCTACTGGGTTTTGAGGGAAATCAAGATTAAAGCAACCATAAAGTGTTTTTCTTCCAGGTTCTGACAAGTGGATCTCACAAGTTGACTAATAAATGCAGATAAGATTTAAAAAAAAAAATCAATGCACAAATTGGACTTTCCCATACAATGTCTGTAACCCATTATCCATATGCTTTGAGATCTGGGTGTGGATTGCATTAAGGGAAAGAAGGGTGTGAGGGCTCCAGTTTTGCACAGATCATTAAAACATGAAGCCCTTTAGTGCCTGAGTTCTTAACTGAACTACCATTCTATAAATGGCTAATAAAAGTGACAACAATAGCTGGTTGGGGCTTCAGAACAGCATTTGGCACCAAGCCCTTGAAGCTCCCATTTGCTAGTGGAAAAACCCTCAAATATTTCCTATTGCCAGGTGTGTGCACAAGAGGAAGCTGTGGGAACACCCAGTGATCTCACAAAACATTCACTGCGGTCCCAGCGATCAACTCCCCCCGTTCTCTTTTAAAGTTGCCTCTGGGTTGCACACAAACTCAGGAACTCTTGTCACCAGGCCTCAAAAGAAAGGCCAGCTCCCAGGACTGGAGGCAAGCTGGGTGTCCCATTGTGAAATGACATAGACTGGAGTGATCCAAGAGAACTGCACTTCCCGAGGGCTCAAATTCACAGCCAGCTAGGCTCTCCCATGCCCTGAGCTCAGGACGGGCCACACTGGCCATGGTTTCTTCACTTTAGTCCCTGCATTCAAAGAGAACAGACACCCTCTCCCACACCTTGCAGGTACTGCTAACCAGCTCCTCAGGAATCTTGGGCCCCTGTGTTAGAAAATCCTTAAAGCCCTAGATCTTGTCCCGTGACAGCAGGATGAGTGCAAATTTCAAGTCAGATGTTGATGGCTAGCACATACCTATTGCACCCTTAGAAGATCCCTGACTTCAGAATATACAGATGAAATTAAAAAAATCTCCAGAGCCTAGCTGTCCCAAGCCAAAGTCATCACCCACTATTTTCTTTTGAAATTTACTGTCCTTAATCAGCACATCATCCTGGCAAAAGTAGGATGGAAACACATACTCCCATTTCCAAGACACAAATATTGAAGTTAAGTGAACTGTGTCCAGTTCATGTGAGGAAATGTTTCTCTTGAATAGCACAAGAGACACGAGGAAAGAGAAGCCGAAAGTTGACCCAAGGTCCATCATTTAGGAGGCTGTGTTCTATACACAGTGAGGCTTTATAAGGAAAGGTGCATCCCTCTCTAGGGGAGAAAAGAATAGTTGGAGTGGGTGGAGCCGACTCAGTCTACAAAGAAGGTCCCTGCAGCAGCTCTGTGAAGGCCCTCCCTAGGCACTCTTACACCCTGAACTACCTCCCTTGTTTCTCAGGAGCTTGGAAGATTGGTGTTGTTTCTTGGGTGTTCTAGATGGGGAAACAGAGGCAAAGCAGCAAGAAAGAATTGAAGCCTCAGTGTGACGACCAAGCCTAATCTAAAAGACGTCTGGAAAAGGATACCTTCCCCTGTCAGGAAGGTGCCTGGCTCCTCACCTCACCAGCACCTCGCCTCACCAGTGATAAAAGCCCTGCCTCTGTATTCACACTGGGCAAGCTGGCTGCAAACCCTGACTAGTGGCACAGTGCATAGGAACCAAGTGCTCCCCCACCCCGTCAGTGTCTGCCACAGTACATCACCCTGGGTAACGCCAGGTGTCACAGCAGAGCGGCCCCTCATAGCACCTCAGCTTTGCCCCACACCAGCAGCTGCTTCCGGGTGCATCTCACACCACCCTACGGGGTAACACACCAAATGAAATCACTGAAAGAAGATGGAAGGAGAGATGAGTGCTTGTACTGGCAGACCCCAGCTGTCCCTAACGCAAGCTCGCTGGGGCAGAGTGAGAGGGTGGTCACAACTGAATGAACTTGAAAGACACACTGACAGTGGATAATCCTGTTCATCAAAGTGGCTTGTCTTCCTCTTGAACAATGTCACTTTGCTGTTCATCGCTGTCATCTGTTCAGGGGTGAAAGAGATGGAAACCAATTACCTCAACAGCAAGGGAGGCTTCTATCTTCTGTCTCTGCTCATCTTGGTGACTTGTGAGCCACAAGAACAGGATTTCACGGAGGAGGTTAGACAGGGTGTACTACAATCTCGTTTGTTTGGTTTGGTTTGAGGCAGGGTGTACCCAGGCTGGCCCCACACTATGTAGACAAGAATAATTCAACTCCTGATCTTCCTGCTTCTACTTCCTAAGTGCTGCCACCCTCAGAGTCTAGAATGCTTGTCAGCCATCATGCTCCTACCTCAAGAGCAGAGATGATCTCTCTTCCCTCTACTTATCAAACTCAGCTTCTAGACCTGCCTCAGAGCAACCTTTTCCCAAAGCTGCTCCTGATCAAAGTGCTCCTCCCAGCTCGCATTTTTTTTTTCCTTTTAGTTTTTCAAGACATGTTTTCTTTGTATAATCCTGGCTGTCCTGGAACTCGCTCCTCAAACTCAAAGACCTACCTGCCCCTGCCTCCCATGTGCTGGGGCTAAAGGCATTGAGCCAGCAACCCCCACAGGTCTCAGGATTTTTAAATGTATCAACCATCAGATAATCAAACCCCTCTGTTAGCACAGTTCTCCTAGGACCTTCTCTCAGCACTGGGTCATTTTAACTTCCCCCATACATCTTAATGTGTTTAGCCTGTTGGTTGGGGCAGGGTGCCCACTCACGGACAACACAGGCCTTTCTCTCCTCGTCCACAATACCCATGCTATGTCTCCCCCACGTACTCTGCCGGATAATTTCTTCCCTGTGCTGGTCGTCATTACATGTTGATTATATTACCCAAATGCTTCAGACCAGAAGTGATGTGTACTTTTAGATTGTGGGTAATTTGCATGTTCAAAATGACAGTCCATTGGGTGGGACCCAAGCCTAAACATGAACTGCATGCTCATTTCATAGTTTCCTTAAGTAGGTCATTTGTAAGTAACTTTATAAAATATTTTCTTGTTTGCTTTCCTTTCGTGTGTGTGTGTGTGTGTCTTTTTGAGACAAGGCTTTTCTGTGTAGCCTATGCCATCCTAAACTTGATTTGTGGACCAGGCTGGCCTCGAACTCATGGAGATCCGCCTGCCTCTGCCTCCTAGCACCGCACACCTGGCTCTGTATAAAATATTTCACCTTATTGTTTATTTACATATTTAGTGGGGTTAGGTAGAGGTCAGAGAACTACTTTGGGGAGTGAATTCATTTTTTCCAGAGACTAAACTTAGATCATCAGGCTTAGCAACAAGAACCTTTACCCATTTAGCTACCTTGCCAGCGCCATTTTCTATAATATTTTAAATAATCTCATGCGGGAAACAAAGTTCATGTATGCTGAAGCATCAGGCTTGTGGTACTCGTTGACACTTAAATGTTTTACATTTTGTTTTTTAGGGAATGGAACATCCAACCTAGGACGAAGTCTCAGGTTCTAGACTAAACGTGAGCCAGCTATCTTCCCTAGGCTTTAAGAAATTGCCCCTACTCCTCAGAGATGCCCTCCAGGAAGGCTGACTACATAGATCTGGAAGGAGGGCAAGCTTACCCTGGAGCTCCTGGAGTCCATTCCCCATGAGGTTTAAGTTCCCATTGACCAGAGCAGTTACTCTGTGGATGTGTCCATGCTTGCTTATTTCTTTCGGCATCTCCTCTCTCTCACTTGTCTCCTGCTCCACCTCTTCGGCAACATCTTCCTTGTCCCCTTCCTCCTCCACTTCCTCCTCCTCTTCTGAATCCACCAAAACCATGACATCACCCATGTCCTGTCCCCTAATTTCCAAAGGAGAAAAAATAATCAGGAAGTCTTTCCAGAGGTTCTGAGTTCAGTTCCCAGCAATCACATGGTGGCTTACAACCATCTATACTGGGATCTGATGCCCCCTTCTGGCATGCAGGTGTACATGCAGCTAGAGCACCCATACACATAAAATAAACAAATCTTTAAAAAAAAAAAAAAAACCATGGAAAATTCTTCATGTAGTCAGCATGGCTTAGCCCTGACGGTGAGAGTATAACCTCAGACAAGATGTAGGCACAGATGGTGAGAGATGGTAGCCATGTCTTTTGTAGGATATTTGTTTATATACTGTCCCTCTCCTGTTGTCACAAGCATCAGGCACAGTTAATACTACATACATTCCCAACATGGAATGCATTCTGGGCTGCATTCTGGGCTGGAGGCTCCAGCTCAGTGAACAGAGTGCTTGCCTAGTGAATCTGCATGGCAGAGTATGGCTGTAATTCCAGCACTTGGCAAGTGGATGCAGGAGGATCAGAAGTTCAAAAACATCTTTGGCTACCACAGGGAGTTTGGGGCCAGCCCAGAATACCGAAGAACCTGTCTTTAAACTAACTAACTAACTAACTAACTAACTAACTAACTAACTAACTAACTAACTAACTAACTAAATAGTAAAAATAAACAAAGCCAGGTTCTTTGCTAAAATGACCTTATTTCTGGAGATCCCTACTGATCCTCAGGTAAGGTCTTCTCTCCCTCCAATTACACATGGGCTCTGTGCCCAGCATCTTGCCATAGAGCTGCTCTTGGCCTACCATTGCTCTAGCCTGCCCTGCCCCGCCCAGCCATGCACTTTTGGCTTTTTTTTTTAAATTTATTTATTATGTATATAGCATTCTGCCTGCTTGTGGCCCATGTTCCAGAAAACAGCATCAGATCTAATTAGAGATGGTTGTGAGCCATCATTAGTTGCTGGGAATTGAACTCAGGACCTCTGGAAGAACAGCCAGTGCTTTTAACCTCTGAGTCATTCTCCAGCCCCAGCCATGTTCTTCTTGAGAAGGGAATGGTGTGTTTCCAGCTGACAGAGGGCCCGGGAGCACTATATCCACAATTCACCCTCCTCCCACCCTTCTGTGAAATGGATGGAGGGAGGAAGGCTCAGAAGATCAGGAAGACCCTATACAAAAGACATGGGAACAGCAGTACATCCCACAAGGCCACATTGCTGTTTCCTGTTAATATTAAGCCTGAGAATGACAAATCTGCCTGGACAATGGCCTGTAACAACAGAGTGGCAAAGGGAACAGTTTCCCATGAAAGATGGTTTTAGAACATTGAGATCTCACTGTGAGGAATGAGAGAAAAAGGAACTATTTGTCCACAGATCATAAAGAAGAATTCTGTCTCCTGCCCAGGAACACCTTGGGAAATTAAAATATACAAATTCCATTTGTTTACTTTTCCCTTACTGAATTTTCCTGGGAGGGTGGGGACTTCTGGGCACGCTTAGACTTGTCTTCCAAAGCATTCTGTTTGTCTATGACTTGGTCTTCCTTTTAGCTCTTTTTAGAAAATGAAATAGAAGCAAATGCCCGAGTGACCTGGCTCATGTGTACACATGGCCCACAGGTTTCATCATGCCCAACCTGCAGATTCCCATTGTCAAGGGCACAGGACTCTGGAATCTATCAGACCATAGTCAGAGGACAGACCCTACCCTCTGCTTCCTGGATGCACTTGCGGAAACCACGTCACTGGTTCTCCACCTTCTCATCCATAAGACAGACAAGCCACCCCTACCCCAGTATGTCATCAAAGATGATGGTTTTCCCACAATGCCTCAGGAAGCTCCTAGCCCAGGGTCCCAAGGCTGGTCCCACTGGAGTTATTGTTCTTATGGAAGAAATGAAACCAACAGTGCCAAGAAATGATGGGAAAAGGCTTTGGAGCAGAATCCCAAGAACACTCACCTGAAAGTGCTCCCTGCTGAAGAGAAAAAAGAAAACAAAAATAAGTACCAGGCCCATCGTTTCGGTCTCAGAGTTTTCAACCAAACCAAACTATGGCTGCGGAGATGGGATGACTCATTAGCATGAGGGCCTGAGATGAAAGTCAAATGCCTAAAAAGCCAGACATGGTATTATATATCCCCGGCCTTAGTGGGGAGAGACAGGTAGAGCCCAGGAGTTTGCTGGCCAGCCAACCTAGCCAAAGCGTTGAGCATTCAGCACAGAGACCCTTTTCAAGCAGGGAGAGAAAGCAAAAAGAAACCACCCAAGGTCCTGGCTCTGGCCTCTGTATGGGTACATACGGGCACATACACCCACATACCCTTGTACATACAGTCATACAGTATATAAACACAGAGACAAAAATAATAAAAGTATAATTAAAGATTAAAAAAAAACTAACAATGACAAAGATGAGCAACTAAGAAGCATTCAAAATGCTTGGGGATGCTACCTAGGTGCCTCATTATTACACATATTGGTCCAAGGAAGCATTCATAGAATGGGGCATTACTTGGGACTGAAGCTACAGACAATTGCGAGCCACCATTTGGATGCTGGGAATCATGCATCCAAACCCTAGCTCCCTGGGGAAGCAGCCAGTGCTTTTAAATGCTTTGCCATCTTTCCAGCCCCAGAGCCCAAAAGAGAAGCAGGGGAACTCAAGGGGTTCCTACCTTTCCAGCAGAACACGGGGCTGTAATACAGCGTAAGCCCTGAAACAATGGCCAGTCCCAGCAGGAGGAGGCTCACCACAGTGCCCACGATGCCCCCAATGTTCAGAGGTTCTGTAACAAGACCATACCATGAACCCTTTCACCTGGTCACAGAAAAACCTCCCCTCTTCAGCCCAAATCCACTGCTTGTCTCATCTTGGGTTTCATGTCCTTATAACCTCTCCAAAAACAACCCCAGGCAGAGAGAATCTGGGGAGTCAAATGAACCATGTAACATCAATGAACACTACATAGTTATGGGGCTCTGTGTGGACCACACACATGTGGAAGTTAGTACCACAGTAAACAGGCTGATCAACGGACCAGAACAGGGATTTTGTTTGTTTGCTTGTTTTGCCTTTAGAGAAAGGCTTTCTTTGTGTAGCCCTAGCTGTCCTGAAACTAGCTCTATAAACCAGACTGGCCCAGAACTCACAGAGCTCCACCCATCTCTGCCTCCCAAGGGCTCGGATTAAAGTGTCATACCACTACTCAGCTAGGACAGATGGAGCTGGGTCAAACCTAGGCAAGGTGGGAGGTGAAGAAGGCAGGCAAGAAACTTGCAATCATACACCACCCACAAAAATCAAGTCTGAATTAAATCCTTAACCAAGGGGGGAGGACGTTAAAAAGTCAGAAGAAATTGCAGAAGAAAGCCAGGCATGGTAGTAGACACTTGTAGTTCCAAGCACTCCAGCAAGGACGACTATACAGTCAAAACACCAACCAGCTCTGAACTACACTGAAAACGCTGTGTGGTGTAAAATACCCCAAACTTAATTCTCATTATTACATCTCTGTGTGTGTGTGTGCACGCTCACACTTATGCATGCACATCACAGCATGTGACTCAGAGAATGACTTGAGGCAGTCAGACCTCTCCTTCCACTGCATGGATCCTGGAGCACAAACTCAGGTGGTCAGACTTGGAAACTACTCAGGGAGCCATCCTGCCAGCCCGCAATTTAACTGTCTGTGTCAAAACACGTGCATTCACTGCCTTGGTAGGCCAATTTGCCTTCTTATTTAAAGGATGTTAAAGGTATATGTATACCCCAGAGAGTTTTCCTTAAAAAACTGCTTCATGATTTATCATCAGTAAATGTTTGATTCGTGTACCTATTTTTTTTTTTTTTTTATACATCTTCACACCCGGGGCCCTGGAAAACTTTTTGGGCAAAAAGAGAGTGAGAAATGTTTAAAAAGCAGCTCTGATATAAAGGAACTGTCCCTATCTTGCTCTCTTCTTTGCTCTCATTCCTCCCTCCCTCTCTTCTGTCCATCCATTTGTCCGTTTGTCTGTCCATTCTTGTTTTTACATGGGGTCTGTAGCCCAGGCTGGCCTCAAGCTCCCATTCTCCCACCTCTACCTCCTGAGTGCTAGGACTGCGGGTGGGTGCCACCAGGCCCAGTTTATGAGGGAGGGAGATGGAACCCAGACATAAAAACTGTTAAGATTAAAATTGTAAATAGTGATTTCTAGAAGTTACCCTGTCTCCCATAGGGAGCTCCACATACATTCTAAGTGGGCTAGAAGAGAAGTGTTCACTTTCCTGTTACAGTCACTAATTCCATTATAGCTGTGTGAGTGTGCACACAGAGGCAGCGCAGGTATGCGTGTGTTCTAGCACATATCCTTTGATGAGTAAAAGGGGTAGCTTGTTGTGTCCTACACCACTGTGTCAGTGATTCCAGGATTGAACACTAATTTTTTCAGGTACCTTCAAGCCACAGGCAAGGAGATGCCATCTTTATTAGCCCATGCCCCGCCCCATGAAGAGTCCCCCAAGACCACCCCCTCAATGGTGCCGGGTGTTCTCAGTCTCTTAACCTTTGGGGCCACTCTCAGCACCTACCTTTCACACTCAGCCAGATGTCTACTGCCTTCACCCCCACGGGGTTCTCAGCCCGGCAGAAGTAAAAGCCTCCATCCGAGTCCTGAGAGCAGTTGTAGATGGTCAGGGAGGAGCTCTGGCCAAGCTGGGTAATGACATAGCGGCTGCCAGGCTGGATGGTCACCTCTGGCTGAGTGAGGTTCCTCAGCCACTGGATCCTGGCCGGGGGGTTGGCTCCTGTCACTTGGCAGGTAAGGGTCACGTTGCCCCCCAAGAAGCATGTTTTCATGGGCTGAGACGAAAGCAAGGGGCTCGCTGGTGATCACAAGAGGGTAAACAGAGGCAAGTGTTTCAGGAGTCATGGCAAAACAATTAATGCTCCCAATTCCCACAGCCACACCTCCTTGGTCTTTCAGAATAAAGCCTAAAATCTACCAAGTACTTGGTACACACAGGAGCCATATGCAAATGAGCTCAACTCACTCTCCAAAGAACCCTGCGATTATTCCCATTTTGTAGAGAAGGAAACCGAGGCAATAAAGAAAGCCGAGTGACTTGCTCACTCACACAGTCAAAGAGGAGACGTGGCTAAGACCCAGGGTGAGCCACTGTCCCACTTTTCCTAGGACTGAGAAGGCTGCTGGCTTCCATGAAGGCCAGGAGGCTTTCCATGTACCAGCAGTACAGTTCTGGGTGAGACCACATAGGCTGATGACCATGGACCCTGCAACCCTGAGCCAGACCAGACTCTGTCACCCACTACCTAATACAGCTACGTCACAGAAGTACACGGGGTTCAGTGAGTAAAGTGGCTTGCTGCCACGCCTGAGGTCCCAAGTTTCATCTCTGCGATACAGAAGAGAGACGTTATACCAGGAAGTTATCCTCTGACCTCTCTGCTTGCACTATGACACGTGGACACACACACACACACACACATACACACACGCGCGCAAACACACAGACATAAAGCAATACAAGTACACCGACCACATTAAATGCTGACACACAGGTCAATAAGGAGGATCAAGTTAACAGGGTTGGCTGTTTCTTCTCCTTGATGCGGCCAACTGCCACAAGGCGCGTGGGTCCTCTATGAGCTTGAAGGCACTCTTAATTGCTAAGCCATCTCTCCAGCCCCTCTTTTTCTCTTTCTTGGTTTTGCCTTCTGTCTTGTTTTGGTTTGTCTGAGACAGGGTCTCACTATGTAGCCCTGGCTGGCCTGGCCTGGAGCTAACCATGTAGATCAGCCTGGCTGGAAACTCACAGATACCATCTGCTTCTGCTGGGATTAAAGGGGTGCACTACCATGCCCCTCCTCACATCCTTTTAGTGTCTTCCTTCCACTGTTCTATTACCCGCTGACTCTGATCTCCCACCTCCCTTTTATAAGAACCCACTGGACCACACAGGGACCATAAGATAATCCACAATGAAACGTACTTGGGCTCTAAGGACCAGAACAAAGCTTCTGCAGGTGGAACACTGCTCTACTACTAGCCCTGGATGACGAACAAAGGCCTCCTGCTGCATGCCTGTTTCCTGTCAACAATCCTTGCAGGAGGGAAGAGGGAAGATGAAAAGCTCAGGTAAGTTACAGAGTCACTCGCTCTCTGTAGCCCATGTTCCTGTGAGCAACCCCCTTCTTCCCACAAGAACCCCCAGTAAGCTCAGTGGACTCGACGGATCTTTGGTCTGGTGGCCCTAGCTGGGGATGGATATTGTTTTGGTCTCTGAAAGGTGTTCTCTCCACAGAACACCATGGAGTCACCTGTCCAAGAACTTCTCTCTAACACATACTCTTCCAGGAAGGGCTAGGACAAAGGCTCCCAACCTTCCCAAGGCTGCGACCCTTTAATACAATTTCTCAAGTTGTAGTGTTAGCAAATAGGCAGCCTGCTTCTGGGTTGCCTAGCAACCTATGATGTCATCACGTGCCTGCAGTGAGGCAGTGAGGCACCAGATATAAAGGACCAACCCATTACTTCGGGCTCCCTACCTGCTTCAAGTTTCTCTCCTGAGGTTCCCCCCTACCCATGCCATTTCCCTCTCCTCCTATGCTCTCTCCCATTGTCTCTCTCCATCTATCTATCTCTGTCTCTTTCTCTCTCTCCCCTCATGGCCCTAACTCAGGTCCTAACTCCTCTCTCTTTTCCTTCTCCCAAATAAATCTCTTCATATCCAGATCTAATTGAGTACATGGCATTTTAAAAATATAACAGTGAGGCCCCAACCATAAAATTATTTTTGTTGTTACTTCATAACTCTCCTTTTGTTACTGTTATGAATCATAATGTAAATATATGATATGCAGGACATCTGACCTATGACCCCCAAATGGGTCTCAACCCACCGGTTGGGAACCGCTGGGCTGGGATGTCCGTCACCTTGAAGCATTTTTGAGGTCCATGCTGTGACAGTCTGAGGTCCTGCCTGGTAGAAACTAATGAAACTAATCTCTTGGCTGTGGTCCCAAAGGAGTAGCTAGGATGTCACACACAGCACCCTGGAAAGAGAGGGAAAGAAGGGAAAAGGAGGAGGAAAGGGGCCATGGGGTTGGAAGAGCCTCCAAGTTTGCTGTCAAGGTTAGGTCAACAAAAGAGACCGGCCTCTGCCTCCCAAGTGTTGGGATTAAAGGCATGCTTGGCAAACTCAGGAAAGACATCTTTCCTCCCTCTCCGTGGGGAACCCAGATCTCCTTCCGGGTCACAAAGCCAACATCAGTGGCAGGTCTCAACAGTATGCTAATATTCTGGGACACTCAAACCAGAGTTTCAGAAATGGCCCCCTTTTCCTTAAATAAGCCTTCCTGGTGACTTTTCCCCAGTCCCCAAACAAAGGTCATGCTTCTGACTAGATTTGACACTAGTCAGCAGAGCACAGTCATTCTTCAAAATGTCACCCACGGAGCTGAAGACATGGCTGAGAGGGATGAAGAGCTGTGCTGGCTAACAGTCTGTGAACTCTGACACAAGCTAGGGTCATGGGAAAGAAAGGAGACTCTATTTAGAAAATGCCTCCATAACATGGAGCTGTATGCTATGCAGGCCTGTAATTTTCTTAGTGATTGATGGGGGAGGGCCCAGCCCATTGTGGGTGGGGCCATCCCTGGGCTGGTGGTCCTGGGTTCTATAAAAAAGCAGGCTGAGCAAGCCATGAGGAGCAAGCAATTAAGCAGCACCCCTCCAAGGCCTCTGCATCAGCTCCTGCCCTTCTTGAGTTCCTACCCTGACTTCCTTCCATAATCAACAATGATGTAGAAGCATAAGCCAGATAAACCTTTTTGCTTTGGTCACAGTGTTTCATCACAGCAACAGAAACCCAAACTAAGACAAGGGCATTGACATTCTCCCACAGGACCTGGATTCCACTCCCCGCACCCACATGGCAAGTTACAAACATCTCTAACTCCTGTTCCAGGGGATCCGATGCCCTCTTCCAGCTTCCAAGGGCACCAGGCACACACGTGGCGCACAGACATACATTCAGGTAAAACAGCCACATATACAAAATTTCACGCACACTTGACCGGCACAGTACCTATTCACTCAAGGAGCTTATCTGAGAGGATGCAGCCGGGAAGGATAGGAAGAAAGACTGCAGAAGATGGGAGTTTCACGAAGATCAGGAAGTGAGAATGGATGTGGGGGCCGTCACATGATGGTCTGCCGAGGGTGGCCCTTTACCAGAGGTTCTTCAACAAATGGACTTGCAGGCCACTCTGAGATGTCTAAAGCGGAGAATGGTAGCTCTTTGTCTCTGGTACCGCTATGCAGGAGGCTGAGACAGGAAACTCAGAACCACGGGAGTAATCTAGCAAGATCCCCTTCTGCAGAGGTGCAGTGGGGGCTGGGTATAGAATCCATGGCCTCGCTCAAGCTGAGCGAGTAATGCACTGCCTTCTGCCCTAGTTTCCTTTTTATCTCTCGAGAGGCAGGGCCTTAGGGTTGGAGGTCAGCAGGAGAACACCCTAGTATGTGTGAGATCTACCGTCTCCAAAAACAACAAAGGAGCCTGATAATTCTCCCCCACTGCCCTTGAGAGTGTGCTACAGTTAGTGACTCTTTACTAAGAGATGCAGTGTTCCAGAAAGCAGACCAAGTGCCTCCCAAGGCCAGCGCCTACAAAGGGTCACCTCTGCTTGGCTCGGCCTCTCTTCCATCACTGGCTCTCTGAAAAGTGGGTCACCACACTAGGAGGACACTCTGATAGCCCCAAGGAGGGTGGTCCCACAGGGGTAGGAGACAGCCCACCAGGCATGTGACCGAGCACCTGGGAAGTATATCTTTTTAAGTTGTTTTTTTTTTTTTTTTTTTTTTTTTTAAGATAGGGTTTCTTTATATAGCTATGTCTGTTCTGGATCTCGCTCTGTAGACCAGGCTGGCCTCAAACTCACAGAGGTCCACCTGCCTCTGCCTCCCAAGTGCTGGGATTAAAGGCACAGGCCAACACTGATCAGCTGGAAAGTCTATCTTTTTCATAATTTCTGCACCCTGACTTCCAAGTCTTCTGCCTGGACCTCCCCCCCCCCCCCCAACACATACTTCACACTCTTGAGACACACAATTGTACCCTACCAGAAATCCTCAGGCAACAAATGTTTAAGCCACCAAGTTCTGGGGTAGAGGGAATCTTCTATGACATAATAAGAAAGACCAACAGAGGCATCCTATCCGCCTTGCTCACTGGGCTGGGCTGAGTGACTAAAAGGCAAGGGCACAGGCACACAGACACAGTCCGTGCTTTGCTATGATGAAGAAGCTAAGCCAGGCATCTTTAAACTTCCAAGGCAATAGCCGTGAGGCACAAGAAGTGAGAGGGATTTTGGGCACTCCAACACTGAGTTTCTCTCCTAGGACTACCATCAAACGATTCTTTGAGAAGAAAGGAAGGCAGGTGAACCCCAACCTCGGGACAAAGAAAGGCAGACTCACAGATCTGTACCACGCAGCTGGCTCCCGACTCTGGTCCCACTATGTGGCTCCCAACGCATTTGAACTTCTTGCCCTCTGACAGCTGTGACGGGCTCAGCATCTGCTGCCTGGAATTCCCCATGATCATTCCTCTGGGTTCTTCAGTCCACAGGAAGGTCGGGTCAGGGTATCCCCCATCCCAATTACAGGTGAGTTCCAGGGTGGCCGATTCTAAAGAAGACACCTCCACTGAGCACTGAGGCGCTGATGAAGGGGGCCCTACAGTAGAGCAGAGAGCGTGGTTCATCTCAGACTGAGTCAGACAGCAGGGTGTGCGTGTGTGCGTGTGTGTGCGTGTGTGTGCGTGTGTGTGTGTGTGTGTTACAGTGCCAGGGTCTGAGAGAGCCATTAAGGCCAGCTGGTCTACCTTCAGAAAGCACCTATAAGGTTGGGGGGGTAACTTAAACAGTACACTGCTTGCCTACTATGCACAAGGCCATGGGTTTGGTCCCCAGCACCCCACAAAATGGTTACAGTGGTACTCATTTGTAATACTAACATCTGGGAGGCAGAGGCAGGAGGATTAGAAGCTCAGGGTCATCCTGGGCTACTTATCTAGTTCAAGGCTTTTCCTGGGATACACAGACACTGTCAGAGAGGGGGAGGAAGAGAAGGAGAAAAGCAGCAGAGCTGTCAATGGCTCAGTGGGTGAAAAGGAGTCACCTTGCAAGCCTTACCACCCAAATCAATGCCTGGAGCCCACAGTGGAAGCCGAGAACCAACTCCCAAAAGTTAGCCTTTGACCTCTACACATGTGCCATGCCACAGGCCCACCTGCACATCATACAAGTACAAAATCAATTTTTAAAAACTCCGAGGCCCAGCAGTGTTAGCACACACGTTTAATCCCAGCACTCGGAAGGCAAAGGCAGGTGGATCTATGGGTTCAAGGCCAGCCTGGCCTACAGAGATAAAACCAGGTCTTAAGAAAACAAAACAACAAAAAGGAATTAACTAGGGCCAAAAGGCATCTGAGATAAGAATGCAGGGAAAACAGTCACATGGCTGGAGAGATGGCTCAGTGGGTAAGAACACTGGCTGCTCTTGCAGAGGACCAGGGTTCTATTCCAGCACCCACATGGAAGCTCAAAACCATTAGTTACTCCAGTTTCAGGGGATCTAGCGCCCTCTTCTGGCCTTCCTGGCCAGCAGGCCCACACAATGCAATTACATACATGGAAGCAAGCTAAAAGAAAGGGAGTTAGGAGAGATGGCTGGAGAGATGCCTCAGAGGTTACCAGCGTTAGCTGTTCTTCCAAAGGTCCTGAGTTCAATTCCCAGCAACCACATGGTGGCTCAAAACCATCTATACTGAGACCTGGTGCCCACTTCTTCATGCAGAATGTATAAATAATGATTAAATAAATCTTAAAAATAATTTTAAAAAATTCTTTAAAAAAGAAGAAAAAGAAAAAGGAAGGGAGTCAGTAGATGGAGGGGCTTGTGACATGGCTCAGCAGGTAACAATGCTTGTGGCTAAGCCTGAGTTCAAACCCTGGAACCCACATGGCACAAGAAGAGCACAGACTCCTTCAGGTTGTCCTCTCACCTCGACATGGCACACATGTGCCCTCACAGATACATACACAAAATAAATAGAGGTGAAAAAATTAAAAGAAATATTCAGAATAGGTAAATGCAGGGATCAGGCTCCTTGGAGCTGAGGAGCAGAGGGCAGAGTGGTTGCCCCAGGGGGTTGAGGAGCAGGGGCAGAGGCCAATGAAGCTGAAGCTTCCTAGGGGTGAGGCATTTACTCAGGTCTGTGACATCCCCAGCCTGAAAGTGCTGTTAGGTGGTAGAACCCTTAAGAAATGGGCGCTTAGTGAGAGGTTTTGGGTCATTGTGGGTCAAACGGGAGTGTGGGACCTTGGACACTTCCTCTTCCTGTCTCTCCCTCTCTCCTGTACCCAGCTGTAAAGTAAACTGGTCCCTTTCCCACGTGTGCCGGTCATGACATGCCGTGTAGACACAGGCCCAAAACAACAACGCCAGTCAGTCACAGGCTGGAACATTTACAACTGTAAGGCAAAAGGAGCCTCTTCTCTTCATAAGCTGACCGTGTCAGGTCATTTATATTAGAGTACCCAAAAAGCTGCCTGACACAGATGAGTTGTGGTTTTTTTTGGGTGGTGAGTGCACGTGTGTGTGTGTGTGTGTGTGTGTGTGTGTGTGTGTGCACACGAGCGTGCACAAGTGTGTGCAGTTGCATGTGGAGGTCAGAGGTCAACCATGGATGTTTCTCAGGGGTCTTCCACCTTATTTTTTGAGACGGGGTCTCTCACTAGCCTGAACTCGCCCAGTAAGCTAGGCCGGCCAGCCAGTGGGTCCCGGTGATCTCCGTCTTTGCCTCCACAGCATGGGGATTACAGGCACAGGCGGCCATGCCCTGCTCTTTTCATGGGTGCTGGGGACTGAATTCAGTTTCTCATGCTCATAGGGTAAACACTTTACCAACAGCTGTCTTTCCACCCCAAACCCCAGCCTATTTCTTTTTTTGTTTTTGAGACAGTCACTTCACAGCAAAAAAACAGGCCCGAGACTCTGATGGTCCTCCTGCCTCAGCTTTCAGAGTGCTAGGACTACAGGGATGAGCCACCACGCCCAGTGGTGTATATTTTGAAATGTTCGTACTTTCCCCCTATTAAAAATAAACGTGTGGCGCTCTGGATTAGCCTCCCTCTATGGCTCAGAGGAGTCTGCTCCATTCGAGAGCACGCTTTCAGGCCTGACAGTCCAGGCATGCGCATGCACGTGGAGGGAGGCAATGAAGCGCGTTAAGAGTCTGTGCGTGGACACGCGATGGAGTATCACACAGCCCCGATAAGAAACGAAGCACTAAAGCACACTCCAGAGCTGCAGTGCAGAGGAAACGGAGGCAGAAGGAGGCAGGGCTAAAGCTGAAAGGGAAGCCGCACAGACACGGTTGGAGGATGGGCGTGCTGCTTACGCACAGTAGACCAGGAGCTCGGTGGTCACCTTTCGCTGCCTCCCGCTCAGCACGTTGGTGGCCGAGCAGGTGTAGTTGCCTTGAAGGTTCTGTGACATCAGCAGCAGTGCGAAGCTGTTGGCGGACAGGTTCCTGCCGAAGGACTCGGGCTTGCTGTGGGCCTGGAGCCACCACTCCACCTCGGGTGGGGGCCATGCGGAGCTGCGGCAGCCGAAGTCCACCTGGGAGCCCTTGGCTGCGTACAGGGTGCCGTTGGGGAGGGTACCGGTGGCCGAGATGTTAATGTCAACGCGGGTGGGACCACCTGGGAATGAGAGGCAGGTGAGGACGGGTGGGAATCGCCATGGCCGGAGTTTCAGCACCTTGACAGCTCTAATGGAACCCAACAAGGACGGTCTACGGATGTTCACTGTGAGACAAGGCCCTGCAAGTGTGTGAGCATTTCCCGCTTAGCGGAGTATTTCCTTCAAGGCCTTTCCTTTTTTTTTTTTTTTTTTTCTGACAGGCTCTCACGTAGCCCAGGCTAGCCTCAAACTATATAGCTAGGGTTGCCCCTGAGCTTCCCATCGCCCTTCCTCCGCCTCCCAGGTGCTGCGGTCACAGACGTGTGGGCTGTTCCTGGTTTATGTGGCGCTGTGCAGGGCTTCACGGTGCTCTGTGAAGACCTGAGGGACACCCGCAGCTGGACCTAGAGGCCTTCCAGCCCTCCTGCTTCCACTTCCCAAGCGCTGCCGTACTATGGGCACGATCAGAGTTAGGGTCCTAGGACCCATGCCCGGTAGCTTACAACTGCCTCCAAGTCCAGCTTTAGAGGACCTACAGTCTCCTTTGGGCACCTACACGCACGCACACACGCACGCACACGCATGCACGAACTAGCAAGTTCACACACACGCCCACAGAGCAAAAATTCCAGGACAGCCAGGGCTGCATAGTGAGACCCGGTCTTAAGAAAACAAAAACAAAAGCCAGGGGCTAGTGACATGGCTCAGCTCAGCAGTTAAGAGCACTGGCTGCTCTTCCAAAAAACCTCAGCTATCTTCGCATCCACATGGTGGCTGACAACTGTCTGTAACTGTAATTCCAGAGGATCTGGTGGCCTGACCTCCACGTGGGCAAACACCCGTACACATAAAATAATTTAAAAATAAATGTATAAAACCAAAAAGGAATAAGACAAACAAAAACAGGAAGCCAGCCTGCCAAGGGGCTAGAGCCCTGGCTCAACAGTTATGTGCACTGGCCCATCTTGCAGCCCAGCCAGGTTCCATTACCCACATGGCAGCTCATAACCATCTTTACCTCCAGTTCCTGGGATCCGATGCCCCTTTGTGGCCTCCACGGGCATCGGGCACACACAGAATGCACAGACATACATGCAAGCAGAACACCCCAACACGTGAAATGCCGTGACAAGGAGGAAGGGGGTGGGCACAGAAAAAGAAGTAACACTCTGGGTCTCAGACTGATCTCCCATCAAGGCCCCAGAAGAAGCTAAATGCCGATGCCAGGGAGTGTTCACCATGCTGAACACTGTTACCGTGGCTCAGCAGGCCTCAGCCTAACACAACTGTGTAGTTACAGACCTGCCACTTGCCTCAGAGAATTCTCATCGGGTGTGGGCAGGCCAGAGCGTGCTGAAAGCTCCGGGTGTTTCTTCTCCAGGGTGCTGGCCTGGGGCCCTTTCCCTCCGTGCAGCTGCTTTCTTTCTAAGCACTGGACACACTGAGCTCCTGCCAGTTGTCTAGAGGAGCCGTCAACCTGAGGCTGCTCTTGCTACCTGGCCCCCAACTCCACTCTCCCACTGCACATCATGGTGACAGGAAATGATCACTTACTCATTCTTGTTTAGCCTCAGTTTCCTCCTCTATGAAATGAGGGTGATGACAGTATCCTCCCAACAGGGCCAATGAGCCCACCAAATGAGTTTATACCATAGAGCCTGGCATGCTGGAAGCACCCTACAAACGGCTGGACCTCAACTTAGTCCACCTTGGGTGTCTTTTTAGCTTTTTTATTTTTTATTCTTCAGTGCTAGGAATGAAATGGAGGGCCTCATACATCTGCGTACGAAGCATCCTATCAATGAGTTACACCTACACCCCAAACAGCCCTGAATTTTCTTGACCCCCAAAATACCCTGTGCTATTGCATCCAAGAGCTAAGTTCCCCTCAGTAAAAAGCCGCTGGAGAAGCAGCTCAGGGGTACAGTGTGAGCTTAGTGGGTGCAAGAGTCTGGGTTCAGTAGTGAGTACCACAAATCAGAAGGGGCAGAAGGATGAAGAGGAGGAGGGAAAGGAAAGGAGGGAGAGAAGGAAGAGGAGGAGGAGAGGAGGGAGAGAAGGAAGAGGAGGAGGAGGGACAGGAGAGGAGGGAGTGTAGGATGCAGAGGAGGAAGGAGAGGAGAACAAAGAGGAGAGGAGAGGAGGGAGAGGAGGTGGAAGAGGAAAAAGAGGAAAAGGAGGAGGGAAGAGGAGATGGAGGAAGGAAAGGAGGAGGGAGAGGAGAGGAGGTAGATGAGAGAAGAGGAAGAAAAGGAGGAGGGAAAGGAGGTAGAAGAGAAGCATGAAAAGAGGGAGATCTTTTATCCCAGTGCTTGAGAGGCAGAGCCAGGTGGATCTCTGAATTCAAGATCAGTTTACTTTAACATAAGAGTATGTATGGCCATACAAGGCTACAGAAAGAATATATGTAAGTCAGCCAGGGCAACATAGGGAGAGGCTGCTCAAAAATAAGTGTATATATATATATGGAGGGAGAGAAACGAAACTTGTCTATATAATTACTTTGCCAATTGAAAGACAGCGGGTACTCCCAATGGCCGCTCACATTAGCGTGATCTTGTGTGCCATTTCTCCCCAGACGGCTCTCTTTAGAACAGGAAGGTCAGAGCTTCAGCAAAGGAATCCATCTACGGCTGTGGAGTTCAGTCCAGAAATAGGTCAGTGGGAAAAAAAAAAAAATCACTTATGGGACACAAAGATTTTTCCTATGCAGCCCTTCAGCGAAACTGCCTTCTTTCCCTAGGCCCTCACTACATAGCCCAGGCTAGCCTCAAACTTAAGGTCCCCCAGCCTCAGCCTCCCAAGTGCTGGGATGACAGGTGTGCTTTTACACACTCGGCCAGGACAACATCTTTGTCAGGTGGCTCACTGAAAACCATTTTGCCTACCTCCCGTAAGGGTCTGGGGAGACTTAGATGGTGACGGGGGCGGGGGTGCCTGAATGCCCCATTCACCACTGCTGGCTAGTCGGTCAGGTATGTGGCTCAACAGGTCCTAGGGCGTGCCTTCTGCTGGCACCCCTCCAACTAAACAGGGTTCAGTCAGAGTACTGAGGGACTGGCGGCCGACGCCTGGGCTGGCAAAGGTCATGTGACTCAGGTCATATACCTCTAGTCTCCCAGGTCCTGGTGCCCTGGCCTGGAGAGCTTGAACCTCCAAAAGGCAGCTCTACAAAGGGCTTTTGGGCCACACAGTCAACAAGAAGTGGAGTTTGCTGCTCAGAGTCACTGGAAAGGAGCCACTCAGGAGGATCATAAAGCAAAAAATCGGGTGGGAGACAGCTCAGCAGGAAAAGGCCCAAGTCTTGTAGACCTGACAACCGGTGTCTGATTCCCAGAGTCCATGTAAAAGCCAGATGTGGTGGTATTCCTGTAAGGTGGGGAGCAAAGACTGGGGGGGGGGGGCCCTGCTGGGAAGCGAAAGGGGCGGCTGGACAAACAAGAGAGACCCGACAAGGGGCAGGGAGAACAAACCTCCAAGAGCTGTCTTCCGGCCTCTGACAGGCCTGCACTCACTCTCCCCATACAAATAAAGAAATTAATTTTAGAGGGCAGGCAAGATGGCTCAGCAGGGAAAGGGGCTTCCCAGCAAGCCTGACAACCCGAGTTTGATAAGCTCAGAGTGGAAGGAGGGAACTGACTCTCGCATGAGCTCCACAGACGCATGTGAGCTCATGTGCACACATACAGATTGAGGGGGAAAAATACACACACACACACACACACACACACACACACAGAGAGAAAAAGTCAGAACTGGAGAGACAGCTCACACACTAAAGGCATTTGCTGCTCTTGCAGAGGACCCCGGGTCTGTTCCCGGCATTCGGCTGCAGAAGGCTCACCAATGCCTGTAAGTCCAGCTCTGCAGACCAGAAGCCCTCTCTGGTATCCACAGCCAGCCATGTATTTGTGGCAGACACACATACACATGAATAAAAACCAATCTTTTGTCCTTTGATGCGAGGTCTCACCTGGCAAGGCAAGGCAGGCACCGACCCCAACCCTTGTGCAGCCCTGGCTAACTCAGAGCTCACTACACAGACCAGGCTGGCCTCAAACTCGGCCGTCTTCCCGCCTCTGCCTCTCAAGTGCCGTGATTAAACGTGCATGCCACCAAACCAGATTAAAATATCATTTTAAAAGAAATTAAAAAAAAAATCAAAGTGAGACTCTATTGAGCCTGAGTGGTGCTTTGCTCCAAGGTCATAGCTCATCCTAAACCGTGGGCTGAACCTGAGTTATATAAAGCCTGTCTTCTTGCTCCTCCCATTCCCCCCCCCCCCCCCCCAGGGTTCTCACTTGACCCAGGAAGTGCCACAGGCAGAGAATCCCCCATTCAGTATGCTCGGTTCCACAGATTTCAGATTTTAGAATGTGCACATCAGTTTCTCCAGCTGAGAGAGAGGCTTTGGGTTGAACCAGGGCCTGGCGAGGCTGGGCAGGTCCACTAATGAGCTGCTCCCACCAACCCCTACACCATGCTTTTGCTGTTGTTGCTTGTGTTAGTTTTCTCGTGTAGCCCAGGCTAGCCCCCAACTAACATTGTAGCCAAGGAACTTCTGATCTTCCTCCTGCTTCTACCTCCCAGGTGCCGGGGCTAGGACCTGTGACACCACACCCACGCCCCTTCAACACCACTTTCACAGGTGTGTCAACCAGTTCCCTGGTACAAAGTCTTAAATCCAGAGCCCAGTCTCTCCCCCTTTAGCCTCTTCTAAGCACTCAGGCTTGCCTCAGACCCAAGTGAATTAAACCTTGAGAAGGAACACCCTGACTTCTGATAAGGCCAATCATCTCCCCCTCCATGTGCTCATTGCTCTGTCTCTCCAGGAACCTGCATTCTGAAGCTGTGGCAGCACTTACCAAGGGGCCGGGAGCTCCCTGAGGCAGCTACACGGGATCCCAGCATGCCCTAGCCTCCAGCCCCAGTTGACAGCCAAGGGGCTTTGGCAGTCTTTACAAGCTTGCTTCCTCATTGCCTTCCTGTCAATCGGTCCAGTGTCCCTGCAGCAACTGCTTGTGGAAAACTAGACCTAGGTTGAGCCTTGCCCAGCATGTCATGAAATCTGACTGGGGTTTTCACGGGCTGGTCTTTGGAGTCCTCACTTGGCCCCAATATAAAGCCCAGGAAACCCAGGGCTACACAGCGAAACCCTGTCCAAAATAAAAGGAGACTGTGGAAAAAACACCAAGGTTGCTGAACTAGTTAACACCCGAGCCACCCCTCACTGTGGGCAAGCACTCAGCTGGCCCATCCCATTCTACTCCCATGTGGAGCCAGAAGGGGATGGGGACCAAGATGAAAGCAACAGCTTCGACAGCGCTGGAAGATGGCACAGAGGGCTTCTGGACCCTTTGGGACAAAGTAATAAAGCCCTATCCTATCTTGATGCGGCCCCAGCCTATCCTGCCTTTATTTGTTTGCTTTTACTCTGCATGTATGGTTTCCCTTCCGTGTGTGTATGTGCACCACACGCGTGCCTAGTGCGGTTATCACGTCACCTGGAACCAGAGTTACTAATGGTTATTAGCTACCAAAGAGGTGCTTGAAACCAAACCAGAGTCCCTTACAAGAGCAGCCAGTGCTCTGAACTGCCAACTTATCTCTCCAGTCCCATTATTAATTTTGCTAAAGACAGGGTCTTGCTGAGCAGTGATCACACACATGCCTTTAATCCCAGCACTTGGGATTAAAGGCAGAGGTAGGTGGATCTCTGAATTCGAGGCCAGCCTGGTCTACAAAAGGAGTCCAGGACATCCAGGGCTACACAGAGAAATCCTGTCTCAAAAAACAAGCAAAAACCAAAACACACTCACTCACTCACTCACACACACATGCATAAACATACACCGAAAGACAGGGTCTCAGTGTTGAAAACACGGTTCAGTGATTAAGAGCATGGGCTGCTCTTTCAGAGGACCCAGGTTCAATTCCCAGCACCCACATGTCAGCTCACAAATGTGTTAACTCCAGTTCCAAAGGACCTTCACCCAAACATACATGCACACAAAACATTAATGCACATAAAATAAATCTTTTTTAAAAAAAACCTTTAGAAAGAAAATGACATGGTCTCATGTAGCCCAGGCTGGCCATGAACTCCCTAGCCAAGGAAGTCCTTGAATGTCTACTCCTATCCTCCACTTTCTACGTGCTGGGATGACCAGCTTTACTGTGGTTCTGGGGATGAGCCCAGGGCTTCACGCATGTAGGATAAGCACTGTGAATACTGAGCACATCCCCAGGCCCCACTGCATGCTTACCTGACACACAGCACTATGAACACTTTGGGTGGAAGTGACAGATGACACCCCACTCTGGTCTCTCCACAGAGACACACCACAGATGGTCTCTCCTACCCTGGCCCTACAGAAAAGCTGACTCCCACGGGTATAGGCGGTATGGTAACAGAAGCCCCCGAGCCTGGACACAGCTGGACACACGCCTCTCTGGCATGCCTCTCTGTCTTGAATAACCAAGGTCACTCATAAGCCTGGGACAGCTGGGGATTTTTCCTCCCTGGTTCCCAAGGCCATGTTAGAACATTTGCCAACTTTTCTCCTTAGAAGAAAAGAGAGACACGTGACCAGGTTATCAACCATTTAAGTGAAATGATAAAGAAAAGCCAGGGCCTGACTCTCACTGAGTCCCATTCAAACACCCAGATGGAAACTCAGAGAGGTGATGGACACCTGTGACTCAGGCCCTGAGAAGGCAGAGGCAGGAGGATTGCCTTGAGGGATTTTGTTGCTGTACTTTGCTTTTCTGAAACAGGGTCTCAAGGAGCATAGGCTGGCCTCAGATTTGCTATGTAGCCAAGGACAACCCTGAAAAACTAAGTTCACTTCTCCTTTCATTCCCTACCACCTATCTACCTCTCCTCCTTCCTTGCCCCCATTTTGGATGAAAGATCAAAATCCATGGTCTTGACCTGCTGGGTAGGCGTGCTACTCCTAAGTTATGGCCAGTGGGGGCTACTTACCAAGACTTTGTCTCATGAAAGAGCTGGTTAGGCAGGAGCCCTTGCGTTTAATCCCAACACCCAGGAGACAGGCACAGGCAATATCTATGAATCCAAGGCCAATCTGATCTACACAGAAAGACTCTGTCTATCTCAACCATGACCTTCTACTGATAGAGAAAGACAGAGAGAGAGAGAGAGAGAGAGAGAGAGAGAGGCCGAAGCAGGGCAGGGTGTCACATGCCTGTGATTACAGCATTTGGGGAGGCAGAGGCAGGCAGATCTTTATGAGTTCAAGGCCAGCTTGATCTACAAAGTGAGTCCAGGATAGTCAAGGCTATAGAGAGAAACCTGTCCAAAGAGAAAGAGAGAGGGAGAGAGAGGGACGAAGGGAGGGGGAGGGGGAATGAAAGAACAAGAGAGGAATAGAGGAGGAACAGACCAGGATGTACCCTGATTGCCAGGATTTGGGGCTGCATTTTTTTCCCATGGGACCAGTCACCTGCCTAAGCAGCAGACCCCAGGCGCATGGCCAAGGTCACGGCTCCTGTGCCAGTTTTATCTTATCAGTGCACATGATGCAGTAAAATTCTCCCATGACCCTGAACTTCACAGATGATAACACCAAAAGCTGAGGAAACAGCAGCTAACAGGGCCCAGCCCAGAGCCCAGGTGTGCAGCCCTCGGAGGACTTTCTGTCCACAAGAGGCAGCACCAGACCGCCCAGGACCACAGTGCTATCAAACTCCCTGAACAAAATGAGGCCAGGTCCCCATCCGAGGGATGGGCTCCAGATGGTCACTGAGGCGCAAGCAGGGAGGGTCTGTAGCCCAGGACCTTCTGGGAGGGAAGAAGAAGTAAGAAGATCCCAGAAGGTTCTGTTGCCACAGATGAGCAACAGGGCACCCACCTCTGGTTCTCTTACAGAAACTGTACCAACCACAGGCCCACACTTTCCTCCCGGGTGTGTGCCTACTCGGGGGACAAAAGACAACCTTGGCTGCAGTTCCTCAGATACAAGCCAGCTTTTCTCTTTGTTCTTTTTGAGTCATGGGTTCTCTGTGGCCCAGGCCAGCCTCCAACTTGCCCAGACTGAAATCATCTGCCACTACAGCCCTCGCTCCTGTCAGAGCCCTCTTTCCCCACACCCATCCCCACCAGCCCCACTTACTGGCCACCCGCAGCCACACAGGGAACCAGCGGGTCTCGTTCAGATCCTCCTGGCAGGTGTAACTGCCGTCATCCTCCAGACTCAGCGACTCAATGTGCAGGGCACCTGCGTCCTCCAGGGAGAAACGAGGCGAGGCTGCCGGGAGGCTGGAGTTAGAGGAGAGCAGGAAGATGGGCTGGGAGTCATTCCGGTACCAGGTCACTGGGCCCCTGGATCCTGACACGTTGCCACAGCGCAGAGTGACGTCTTCATGGATTTCGCCGATGACCACGGCCCCTGGTTCTGTAAAGGGAAGGCCAGGCTGTTAGCACATTTTTTTTGGTTGATGGGCAATAACCCTTTGGGAACAGTAGGGTTTTCTTTTCTAACAGCAGGGGGGGGGGTGCGTGGAAGGGTCTCATGGAGCCCAAATGGCCCTGAACTCACTTCCCAGCACATGCTGCCACTGAACTGTCTCCACTTCCCGAATGCTGGCAGGCATCACAAGCTCTGCCACCACGCCCAGCTTATCCAGGGCTGGGCACTGAACCCAGAGTGTGCAAAAGGGCTCTAACAGTAGGCTAAATCCCCAGCTATCTTACAAACATTTTAAGTAGCGGTGATATGGTTTGAATCTGAAATGCAACCCCTCCCCCCGTTTTCTGGCGCCAGCTGGTGGCACTGTTTAGAAAGGTCAGGAACCAATTGAGGGTGGGGCTTTCCTGGAGGAAGTGGGACACTGGCTCTGATGTGTACATGTCCACACCTGTACAGTGCTTCTGGATGGACACACTGAGAGGGGACAGCCTCAGACTGGCTCTGCCACCCCTTCTCTGCCATGATGGAACTGTAAGCCAAAACAACCCCTTCCAGTCCTTTAAGTCAATGTGTCACATATATGTATATATTTTTTATCATAGCAAGAGAAATGAAACACACGAGACATGGGAAGCGCCATGTCATCAGACGGAACCCTTTTTATCTGTTGTCCACGAGGACAGGCCCAGCTCTGACTGCAGGGCAATGAACCCTTTGCGGGGTAGAGGAAGGGCAGAGGGTCTAGCTGCAAGTGCTCTAGATCAACCTTTGGGCAGACCGTCCTGACATGTGACAGCCCAGGCATGATCAGCAGAGCTGCCTATCCAATCACCCCAAGCAGCGTTGAGCAAATAAGCATTATGCTCTCCACGTGGCCATCTGTTAGGCCACAATCACACATCATTAGGCTGTAGTTTTGTTGCCTAGACATCCAGATGGGGTGGGGGGGGTCAGATCTTGGCCTCCGGCTCCTTCCCCCCGGAATTAATCACTCTAGGCTGCCCCCTGCAGGCAAGGTTTGATAACAAGTGCTGTGCATACACTGGGAGGCCCTGGGGATCTGCTGACAAGAGAGGGGCAGGGAGAGGGGGAGAGGGGGAGAGGGGGAGAGGGAGGGAGAGTGAGTGCCATCCAGTTTACCGGCTAGTGGGAAAACAGACACAAAACTGGCATGAAGGGCAGAGGTGAGGAGCAGGGAGACGGGAAGAGCGTCCAAGCTTTTCAGAGCGGGGCCTGATAGACAAGTAGGCATGAGATTGGTTCAGAAGGAGCCAGAATCCCAGGCAGAGGGAACAGCTAATTCAAAGGCCCAGACCAGAGCCAGCTGTGGTGATATCCCAACACTCAAAGGTAGTGGCAGGAAGATCAGGAGTTGGAGGCCAATATGGGCTACATACTGAGACCCCGACCTAAGAAAACAGTGTGTGTGTGTGTGTGTGTGTGTGTGTGTGTGTGTCTCCAATGAATGCTCATTAGTCAGTAGGTAACAAAAAACAAATGCAGTCTACTTTTTTTTTCCTGAGAAGTACAACATTCCAGAACTTTCTACAATCAACAACCAATTCTAGAGAGGCCACGGGGACAAAGATTTGGGCAGAACCTGCTGGACTGATAAAAATATCTTGCAGATAATTAACAGGGGTAGTTGCTATGAGCCCTATCACAGCACACAAACAGAGGTCAGATGACAACTTTCAGAAGTAGGGTCTCTCTTTCCACCATGCAGGGGACGGAGGGTGGTCTCCAGGGATGGAATTCATGTCATCCAGGTCTACAGCAAGCTCCTCTGCCCACTGGGCCGTATCACTGGCCTAACAGAGTGGCTTGTACTTGGTTTTGTCTTATAATTCATTATGACAGGGTCTGAAGCAGTGAAGGCTGGTCTTGAACTCACTGCACAGCTGAGGATAACCATGAAATCCAGATCCTCCTGTATCCACGTCCCCAGTGGTGAGATGATGGGCGTTGCTACCACACTTGGTTTCATGGGGTTCTGGACACAGGGTTTCAGTCACACTAAGTAAGCCCTCTACCAACTGAACTATATCCCCAGGCCAAGGGTAGATTTTATGGTATGCAGATTATATCTCAATAAAATCATTACAAGAAAGAAAAGATACTGCTACCTGCCTTTTGGCGACCTTACCATGGAGTGTCTGAGCCGGGTCTGCTGGTCGATCCTGTGATCAGAAAAGGCTCCTTTCAAAAGACTGAAGTTGGGTGAGGCCCCAAGAAGTCCTAAGTCTACGCTGATCCTAGTTACACTACTCCCCGAAGGCCTTAAAGCCAGAAACAACAGGGGGAATAAGCCAGGCTATTATCTGTAAAGGTTGAGAAGCCACTACCGCTAACCAGCCTCTCTCAAACAGCACAGAACACTTAAGAGTGATAATTTAAAAGGCCACCACAGCTGAGTCTGGGGCCACAGGCCTGTAAGCCCAGGACTTGGAAGGCTGAGGCAGGAAGATCAAGTTCAAAGCCAGCCTGAGCTTCGTTAGTAAGCCCTGACCCAATGAAGAGGATGGGAGGAATCGGGATGGGGAATGGAGGTGAGGAACGATCATTTTCAAATTATTAGGCTACCAGCCCACTTCTCACATGGCAACCTCCACCAAGAAAAATATGTACTGTAGAGCTACAGCTGCACAGAGCGTCCCTCAGACTAACAGCTGCCCCTTTCTAGCCCTCTGCAAAGGAATACTAGACTGCCAGCCTAGATGGCTTTACCCTTTAAACCTGGGCTGTCTTCTCCAGGGAAGACAATGGCCTGGCCAGTCTCCTCCTGGCTCTGTCCACTCTGCTGCTTCTAACTCCTGAGGCCGAATATGGCCCTAGATCATCTAGTCAATGATGCAGCTGAACAGTCATCAATTGGTGATGTCTGCCATGGACAAGAACAGGGTGGCCCCGAAGACACATCAACTACACATACAAGCCGATTCTACACACTCTCATTTCACTGTTGCCACTTCCGGCTCCCCATGTGTCTCTACAGATGTGGGACAGTCATACTCTTGAGGGCACTGGGTCAGTCGGCTTTACTTGGATCACAGACACAGGAAAA